TCTGTCTCGTTTCCTGCTAGAAGGAGAAGAAAAACATTAATTCCCGGGCAGTTTCATTTTCTTGGTGCGGCGTCTGGACGCCGGAGCACACTTTTGAGCCCAAGTGGTGTGGCCAGTTTCTTTCCTGGCACCGCAGAGGCCTCAGTTTGCTTGTGGGCAGGGTAGGGGACTGATTCAGAAGACCTCAGGGTCTCATTTAGGTTTCACGTTCTGGAATTCTAAATGTAAGAGAGTTAAACTGAAGCCCAGAGTCATACAAAATTGCCCTGCAGTGGCAGCTCGACTGTCGCTAGATGTGTGACCGCGTTCAGTCTCGGGGCCTCGGTTTCACCATAGGCGAAATAGGGATAGTGTACCTGCCTCATAAAGGTGCTAAAATATTAAATGTGATAACATTTGAACAGAGCTTGCTTCTGAATAAACAATGCTTGGAAGTTAATTGTTACCATTGTCACTGACGAAACCAGGCCTTCCAGATAACCCTGTCAAGTCGCTCATCTCTGCATGAGTTAAATACCACACGCATCTCAACCGACTTTTTATACATTTCTGTGCGTGTTTTATGTTTAAAATGTCATAAAATGAATGCATCTACCCAATTTGCTTCCTCTGAAGTCAGTACCGTCCGGGAGCAATTTTCCTCTCCCCCACCTCCATCTTTCTTCTGAGTTAATTCCAGTTTGACAGACTGTTGCTATAGCATTCCTTCTCTGACGTCAAACAATTTAAAGAAACAGCCCTGGGTAACGAAAACTGCAGAGGAGTTCTTTGTGGAGTTTCTGTGCTGGAGAAAGGTTTGAGCAATATCCTAAGAGAACTTTAACACCTCCGCAGCCTTCCATTTCGTCTTCAGCAGCTTCCCACTATCACCTGGAATAAATCTTTTAGTACCTTCATGATAAGCACACCCTGATTGCGGCTGTGGAGAAAATGTGACCGTTTTGTGTAAACGCCAGACCATGACAAAAAAGGAAACAGCTGTGGTGCCAGGATGATGAAATTATAGGTTCTTTTTATTTCCAAATTTTCATTTTCCTTACAGTGGGGTGCTTGTTTCCACTAAGAAGAAAGAGGAGAAATGCCAAATCTTACACATATTGGTGTCAGAAAAGTTGATTGGGACCTGAGTGGTTTGTAGCTGTAACTGTTTATATGTTTTAATGATCAAATCCTGAGCATTATCATTGTCATTTTTAGGAGGGAGCAAAGGGAAATTATTATTTAAGGAAATCCTATTATAGACCAGGCTCGCTGCTTTCTTATATGTACTTAATTCTTACAATAACTTTATAATGTGCATTCTACCCCCATTTTACAGACAAGGAAACTGAGGCTCAGTGAGATTAAGTAATTTGCCTAGAATTACACAAGAAGTGTCACAGCTTTACATGGAATCCAGATTGGATTTACTCCAAAGCCCACTTTCTTTTAGATTCTTTTCTGTCTTGTTCTTGTGCACTGGCACTTAACAGTTATTATAGGTCTTTGAGAGGTGGTTGGGCTAAGATTATTGAAAAACAACTGTGCTGGTGTTTAGGAAAACCCAGTGGAAAGTACTGAGATATTCTATCCCAGAAAAGATTAGGGGAAATATAAGTCAACAACTTCTAAACACAAAAGAACCTGAAAAGATGGTACAAGAATTCTTACAGACCATTATTTAAAGATTTGAAATTAGTTACACAAAGTGATGAATTCAACCTTCCTGAGAATTTGTTGTGAACAGAGAAATTACTAGAAGAATTAAAGTCCAAGTACAAAAAAGGAAAGTTTAATTATTATCTAAACTAGTCCACTTCCAAGAATATTATATTTCTGTTTTGCCACATCTGCTGCATATTTTTTCTGGAAAGAACACTTAGTCATTAAAGGACAAGCCTATATTGCAAATCAGAAAGTGGAGCTGATGGAAAGAATTTCATTACCAGGAATGATTTCCTGAAAGTACAGTGATGCATCTAAGTGATCCAACAATTGGTAATTTTCAAATGATAACATAATCCATGTAGAAAGTAAAAGAAAGAGAGAGAAGGAAAGAAAGAGAGCGAGAGAGAAACAAAGAAAGAAAAAAGAGGTGTTATTAACACTTTGAAGCCTGCTGATTTATGTAGACAATTGTAATGATATCCTGCTTCTAATGATTAAACCCAGTGTTCTTGTGTTTGGGTGCCACTGGGTGATGTTTAGTTTTCTAACTCATTAGGACCGTGTTGACAAATCCTATTCTATTAAAAGAGGACAGTGGGGTCCCTGCTGGAGAACCTTTGAAGACAAATTCTCTGTCTATTCCTCCTAGTGTTTAACAGAATACCTTGCAGATACCAAGTACTCAGTGAACAAATGAATGAATGAAGGCACTGGGCTACTTGTTTTACTCAAATAACCTTCATACCTAACCCCACCCACATGCCCTACTCAGAATCATAGAGAGGAGAAGAGCAATTTTTATTTTTCTGGGAGTTTACTTATAGTTGCTTCTGCAGGGTGTTCTGCTCTCCTGTAGCTAAGTTCAGAGAAGCTCTGCTCTTGATCCTATGTTGGATGAATCTGAATCCTGTCCTCAGCAAGCTACCCTAAAATCCACAGTACCATAGATTTGTAACCTTTGCTTTTAAATCATACCCTAGAAATCATCTGTATTTTTTCTGAGCCTACTTTCTCAGACAATGCCAAGTGCATTATGAAGAACAAAATTATCAAAATGGTCAATATTCCAGTACTGCCCTGTTGTCTGTGTTGTATACATTCCAACTGGATTTGATTCAGGATGAGACCAAATTATATACAAGCAATATATTTTATGGAACTAAATAACAGATTTTCTTCCAGCTACAACAAAATAGTTCAAAAATATTAAATAGAAAATTTCTGATAAGCTATACAGTAGAGTTCCTCAAGGATGTAGGAAGTGATTCCTTAGTAGACTCTGAGAAGTAAGTCTATGTGTCATTTCAGACATCCTTAATCCTGAGCAGTCATGGCCAAACCCTTCCCTCTTGCTCACACACATTACATTTTGATATCAACTCTTTTCACAGCTTATATTTTGAGACGGCCTTTGCTGTATTCTTCTGACACTCCTAACACAAATCAGTTATAGCTTTTGCATCTTTGTACTCAGGTTCTCCAACGACAATTTGGGTCCATTATCAATATGCACATCAGTGACCTTAGGAAAGTGCTATACTTGACTGATGATGTCTGTCTCAGGTGTAGGGAGGGAAGTAGAAGCACCCAGGCATGTATTTGCTGCTCTAGGTCCTGTGGTTTAGGTCTCAGGAATCTGTTATTGGGAAGGGACAGGCAAAGTGAAAAGAATACTAAGCTGCACATCAGAAGACCTGATTTGGAGGTTTGGCTCTGGTACCAAATATCTGTGTGATCATGAGCAGATCACAACCTGCTGCATTCTGTCTTGTTCAATACATAAGATGGGAGTGCTGGATTCTAACATGATTGGCAAATAGCAGTGATACCATCACTCAGTTCTATGCCAATATATAACTTGGCTAATCAGTCAGGCATTCTTTGTCTCTAAGCCTCATCCCATTTTCAACAGTTCACTTTATGCCACTTCGTGTTTATGAAAGACCTACATTAGAACCTGTTTTTACCAACAGAAAGAAATCCAAAGAGGATTTTCACTTTCACGGGAAAAAAAAAAAGACAAAAAGCAAAAATAACATTCAGCGTTTGTTTTGCAACAGCCTTCCTAAAGGCAGCCTACACCCAGGGGAGCAGGAAAAGCAATACCATTCAGCTCCTTCCCTGGAAACTACACTCAGCCTCTTAGCATCTAGCCGCTGTAGCTTTGGACTGTGTCTGTGAGCATCTGTGCTTTATCTCAATTTATTTTGTTCTTCCATTAGCAAGATGAGTCCTAAGGTAATTACTTCTTCACTTTATGCCATTTCGGCTTTCAAATGGTTTCCCAGGCAGGTTCTACTTTCAGATAGCAGGGACAACCTGTACCACACCAGGAAGGTGCTCTAATCTGTTGGTGAGTAGAAACATTTTATTAGCTATCTATTGCTGTGTGACAAGCACCCCCACCCCAACTTTGTGGATTAGAACAACAGCAATCATTTATGTTTCTCATGAATAGCCTACTTAGGCAAGGCTGGGCTGACACACTGCTCAGCTCTGGGCAGTGCCAGCTAGTTTGACTCTGCTGTCAAGATGGCTCTGTCATATGGCTGGCAAATCTGTGGTGCTGGTTGTTGGTTGGAAGATCGGCCAGGGCTGTGGGCAGACACCTCTGTTCCTCTTCACATAGGCCTTTCCATGAGCTACTTGGAATTCTGCACACTACAGTGGCTGGGTTCCAAGAGCCAG